GTGAGAGAATGCAAATGAAGGGTCTCTGTTTATGGATAACCCTCTTGAAGGAATCCCCTTGAGAGGATTTTTTTTTTTTTTTTTTTGGCAAACCATGCATAACTGCGTGAGAGAAAAGAGAGCGCTTACATTTTCCAGCAGAGCTCTGGGACTTTTCAGTCAACCAAAAGAGCGAATCGATAAGGTGTGCAGTTGTACAAGGTCCAGAGGGAAACAATTAATAGTGGAAATATAGCTGTAAAGGAGACTTTTAGCTAGACTTTGCTGGATAGACTTTCTGGCAAAGTGTGACACTTCCATGTGGAAATGATAAAAAAAAAAAAAGCCCTATTCTGATCTTTCTACCACTCCAATTTAAAAATCAGACTCATCAAACTGGAAGCTTTTATTAAACTGCACACAAACAGATTCCGACTAACTGGCTCCTTTTTTCTCTTTCGGAGAACTGCACACAAAATCAAACAATTCCAACCGTATTGATTGAGTTTGCACTCTAAAAAAAGCAAAGCCACACCAAACACAATTACTCAATCTGCACAGTATGCACCGCAGCTAGGTTGCGTAGAATCGAGGCGGTGCTAAGAATTCATAAATTAGGCTCAGGAGACCTCCTTAACTCCATCTTCTGTGTCTTTGAGGCGCGGAGAATCCGACAATAAATCACATGCAGCAGAACGAGGGAACCAATGCAGGCTATTCAGGGATTCTGGTTCTGGATTTGCATCCCTCTAACCCCCCCCTCCCACACACACACACACATACACACACTTTAACATCAGGCAATGATGTTTATTACACACATGACATTGGCAGAGGCATCAATGAAATAACCATCACCATAAAAAGGTGGAGCTCTATTGGCAGACACATACAGCCCTCAATATAACCTATATGCTCCTGATTTTTAATGATAATCACCGTAATTGCTCACAAGGGAAAGCTGTGTATTACTAACTAACCCACATAAATATTACCTTGTCAATATCTCTCACTGCCTCGTTTAAAATGAAAGTCATCATTAGAGCAGGCTGTAACTTTAGCATGGTCAGAATAAATGGTCACCAAGCAGCTGTAGTAATGAGATACTAGAGCTCAATATTGATTCATATCTAGGCAATCTTTCATCACATCCAGAGGAATTTATGTGCCCCTACACACTGCAGCACCGCTTCTCCCTTTTGTGCTTCTTATCTTAAAAAAGGCAGTAGGTGGTATAAACACCATATGGGACTAACTGGGTAGTTTTTTTGTTTTTTTTTTCCTTTTTTGCCCTCGAGGCTATTGCCAGACAATGCAGCACAAGCCACAGTGAAGTGAAAGACCTGCCGCTTTAGCCTCTGCTGCTGCAAGGCTGCCTTTACTGTCTTCTTCTTTTCATGCTCCCCGTCACGCATAAGAAAATAACTGTACAAAAGGGTCCCGTACGAGATAGCCTTCCCTCAGCATGTCCAGCCACTCACAGTAACCCAGTTCCTGCCTCAGGAACAAGCAACGTCCGTGAAACACACGTGGGAGAGCTGAGGGTGACATGATATAGAGTTAGAGTAAAGTATGATACAGAATACATTACTTTTCACTAGGGATGAGACTCTACAGAAATACTGTATCAGCAAATAATATAATTATTATACGAATTATGAATTCACCGTGTCATATTGCCACGTTATCAGGGAATGAAAATAAAAACAATAGCGCCTTTGAAGAAACTAATTAAATCACTTTTTTGTTTTCTTCCTTAATGCCAGGGATTAACCGAGCCAGAACTAAAGCATTACGTTTTTGTGGCATGAAATTGTGATATTGCTTTCATAGTTGCACTTTGCACCTGCTGTACGGTAGCTATATCTAAAATGATGCCACACAAATACATGACACAAGTGGCAAACCACATTATTCCCTAAATCACTGCATCTTCCTACCAACAGAGACACATTCAACAACCTGTAATCCAGCAATAAATACACAAATTAAAAACCTTATAGAAAATGAGCAGTTGTGCGATTTGTCTCATTAATTGTTTTTCCTGTGAAAAGCATATTGACTGGAGGATGTGACATGAGATGTTGCGACGTTTGCAGGTAATGGATTGTCTATAAACCCCCGCAGCCTTGTGTGGCCCTGTCAAGGAGACAATAATGCTGCAGGATTATAACACATACACTTTCAGACAAATTTCAGTAAGATTTCATCACATTACAACTGAAGGTTAGTGTGTCACTTAATGTCAGACATCACTGTGCTCATGTTACAGGCCAATTCGACATAATTCAACTAATAACTTAACTGCTCGATCTAGGCTCTCGAACACTTTCCTCCACCAGGGCAGCTGAGTACTAATGATATCATGATTGAAACTCTTTCCCAAGAAGGGTGGCAGTTTGATGAGATCTGTTAATTAGTCGACTTGGCAGGGTTTTACATCGTTTCACTGCCCTGTAGATAAACAGAAGCACTACAATAACATTTCTGAACAATGTCTGATGGCGCATGACAAAGTTTTATTCAAAGAAGTAAACACTATATTAGATATAAATCATGCAAATGTGTCCATCAGCAGTATGTCTAGCAGAAATATTAGATTAAATCATTGATAATTAGATTAATAGCATTAATTAATCTTGTGTTAAATCCAAATACTTTACCACAACCTACTCTTCATGTAATATCTGAAATTGTGCGCTCACAAGTTAGTTCTGGCAGTAAAAACAGAGGTGAAATGCCTTTTAAATAAACCAGAAAAAGACACATTGGAACTTGTTGGAATTGTTGTTCAATAGGAGAGGTGCATTGAATAATAATTTGGAGAGGATTACATATGTTTGACTGTTTGCATGTGTCATCATCAGTAAGGACTGGTAATAGTGTGAGCATCAAATAGAAGATGTTGGTTCATAGTCTTTGTTCATTGCCAATACACCTACACAGCAGAGGGATAATCAATCATCCGGTGCAGGCTGTGAGCCCCTTTGTCAGTGTGCAGGTCCTGACTGAAGGGAACAGTCTGCTGGGACAAATTATTATATCTGATTGTTAGAAAAATGAGAATTGCTGCTGATGCAGACATTATGCAATAAAAGTATGGATGGGACAGAAAAGCGATTAGAGTGAGAGGCTCTGGACGTCGAGTTACTACACCAGCCCGCACCGCAGTGCACGGAGTCAGTGTCAAGAAGATTGATATTGACGAGAAAGTCTGAATGGGCGAAATGGCTAAAACACTAATCGATAGTCATCGCACTGTTGGGCATAAATGAGGAATTCCCCTGCTGCACAACAGAGCACTCAAATCTCCCCTCACAGACTAGATACACGCACACACACACACTCTCATCTGCTCTGAATCTGACGAAAAACAAGTGCGGATAAAACAATTAAAGAAAAAAAAACAACAAAACAAAACAAACACGCTCACATACCAGCTCCGTGGTCATGTTCTGTTGAGTTGTGGCAATCATTGTAATCCGCAACAACCTCTGCTGTCTCTGTAGCTTGAAAACCCGCCGAGCGGCTGCACTGTTGCACTGTTGTCTTGCGGAGCCTTTTCTGCATGCTCTGCTTCTTGCAAGTTTGTCTCTCTCTCTCTCTCTCTCTCTCTCTCTGTCTCTCTCTGTCTCTCTCTCTCTCTCCTTGAATGACTCGTTCACTCATTCGTCCATTTCCATTCTGCTTATAGGCTATTGATTGGCTCAGAAATTAATCATGACAGAGTGTTGTGATTTTAGCTGCTTCAGCATTCCTACAAACAGTCAAAATGATTACATGAGTGATTACATGTAGGCTACATATAATATTTAGTGAATGATTAACTGCCAATTTTATCCATAAACATTTAAATTTTGGTGCTAGGATTGATAAGTAATGTAAAAATGATTCACTTCAATTTGTATAATACTTATAAATGCATTATCTAGTAGTGTATGTAACACAATAATATACTTGAGTATATTATTCAGGATCAATGCTGCAGTGCCTTATTTCTAAAGTATGTGCAAAGTCATGCTGAGTAACATAGGATGTGAAACTGACCGTTGAATGTTGGTCAAAAAAGCAATTTGAACATATTAACATTTTTCACTATTTTTTTCTTTACATTTTTTACCCTTAACAGTCAAAAAACGATTCACTTCAATTTGTATAATACTTATAAATGCATTATCTAGTAGTGGATGTAACACAATAATATACTTGAGCATATTATTCAGGAATAATGCTGCAGTGCCTTATTTCTTAAGTATGTGCAAAGTCATGCTGAGTAACATACGACGTGAAACGGACCGTTGACTGTTGGTCAAAAAAGCAATTTGAACATATTAACATTTTTCACTATTTTTTTCTTTACATTTTTTACCCTTAACAGTCAATCAGTTATTAAAGAAAGTAATTAGGTATTGATAATTAAAAAGAAAATTATACCTCTGCTTGAGGTTTCTGTTGAAAGAGAAAGAGAAGCAATTTGATAAAACACAACTTTACAATAAATGAGCACAATAAACTAAAAATAATTACAGTCATAAAATGTAAAATGGATTTTGACAGAATTCCTCTACAAGCCCAGGGGCAACAAGAGGGAAGATGGAGGATATTGCACTTTAGTGGTAGAAAATTTGGGCTATAACAAATGTGTGCCTTGTGTAGGTTTTATTGAAGTCGTTATTTTTCCACTTACATGCTCCAAAAAAGCCGTTCATTCAGTAGAGTTGGTTTTATTTTTGAAAGTTGTAACCGGAAGTGTGACGTATTTCTTCTCCTTGATTACTCTTTTTTGATTCTCTATTCTTTGATTGATAGCTAACTGACAACATTATATTTTTGAAATGGTATTTTACATTTGCTTGTGTACTTGTTGTTGTCTGTTAGTGGTACCACCGATGCAAGGGTCGGAGGTAACATTGTTTTTTATTTTGAAACTATGCAGTCGGAAGTAATTTCTCTTCGTTCTTGACAGTGCTCGTCACTCATTGGCTAACGGCAAAATTTGAAATACAACGCGCTCAATGAAACTGTGGCTGCGGAAGGATGCGGATAAAGATAAAACAAGCTGGTCGCTAAACAAAAAAGAACAAGGAAAGTGTTTTCAGCTGAACATTACCGAAAGGATTTTACGCATTTCTCCGGAGTAGAAACGGTAGGTAACTACTGTCAGCTAAAGTTTGCTAACATGGGCGAGAGGACAAAAGTTAACGTTAGCAGCCAACGTTTGCCCTAACGTAACGGCCGTGTTATTTTTCAATGGTACACTTTAGCTAAGTGAGCGTAACGTTATTTACTGGAGATGTAGAACAGAAACAACAGAAACAGATTTTGACTTGATGGACTGCGGTGGCAAATGAATTGAAATTGAATTGAACGGTGGATTTAACTGGATTATTGGATATTTCGATAATTTGTTTGTGTTGCAGTTAAGTTTTAGGATAGCTTCTTAATATGTGTCTGAAAATCAGTTACACAATAGTTCCATATACAGTACTGTGCAAAGGTTTTAGGCATTATAATGCCATGAATAGTTTTCATTTATCAATTATAATACAACCTACAGTAAACAGAAAAAAACCCTAAAACAGATCAAAACTTGCGGTGACCACCCAATGCTCTTAAAACAGCACCAGTTTTTCAATATACTTAGGTAGGTTGTTCCAAGCATCTTAGAGAACTTGCCACAGATCTATGGATTAAGGCTGTCTCAGTGTCTTCTGTCTCTTCATGTAATCCCAGTCTGACTCCATGATGTTGAGATCAAGGCTCTGTGGAGATCAGACCATCTGTTACAGGGCTCCTTGTTCTTGTCTCTGTAGCTAGTTCAGTAAGACTGTATGTTTGGGGTTGTTGTCATGCTGCAGGATGAATCATCTTCACATCTAAATGTCTAAAACGTTTACACAGTATTGTTAATAGAACCACAACCCTTGTTATCCTATGAGTTAAATGTATTTAACTTACAATGCATATCTTTCAAGGGTCTTAAATCATAGAACATCATGGAGACTGCTGTGCTGAGCCTCCAGAGTTTATATGATAAGCTGAGGACGCAAATTGACGTCCTCAACGAGAACATTGAACCCAGTGAGTAGTTTATGTTTATTGGTTTTATCTTTACTTTGTATCATTTGAAACAAATGTAAGAGATCCCTATACAGACACCTGCCATTAACTATGTGCATCTCATTTCCCTAGATTTCATTCAGATGGCACAAAACTTTGATAATTGCCGTCGCAAATGGCTGAGGGCAGAGCAGGACCTAGGGTCTTGTAAAGAGATTCTCACCAAAACTGAGACAGAGAGGGGAGCCTTGGAGGTCAAACTGAAACATGCCCGCAACCAAGTAGATGTGGAGATCCGGCGCAGACAAAAGGCTGAGGCTGACTGCGAGAAGTTGGTATGTTGAATGAAATGGTGACCTCTGATTGCCGATATGTTCAGTCTTCAAGTAGTTTCTCATATGTGCGCCGCTTGTATTTCTATGATACAGGATCGTCAAATTCAGTTGATTCGGGACCTCCTGACCAGTGAAGGATCCACCAACAGCATCCAGCTGAGTGCAGAGCAGCGCTCAGCTCTGGCATTCCTGAACACAAACTGTCAGGCAGCAGCCAACCTGAATACTAGCCGGAGGTAAGAAACTCACAAATACAGGATGTTTTGTAGTTCCTACAGTATTTCCTTTTTCTGTCTGTGAAGAGCTTCGATGTTGTTTTTTTTTGTTTTTTTTAAACCTGCCATATTGGTGGTGTGCCCGCTGGTTTAGCTGTTTGAGCCATATGGTAAAATACAGAATACAACATTCATGGTGGTTCACCCCTGCGGGGGGGGGGGTTTCTCATTTACATGTAGGAACATCAAATGCTTGAGACTCAGATGCAACACAGCATTGTATTCACAAGCTGACTTTAAACTGGGGAAGTCATTTTCCCCATCTGTTATCGTCTCCATCTATTTATCACATGAATGCACTATTCCAACACGCTTTCAAATCACTCTGAGCTTTCATCTACATTTTTATCTTTATTTTTGAAAGGATGGAATAACAAATAAAATAGTCTGAAAAATGTTTTGAGTGGAGGCAAATGCATTGGACTTGATAATCCAAATCCTTAGTGTGAGAAACACTTCTGACTGGCTTAACATCTTTTCTGTTCCTTCTGACAGACTGATGACGATAGATGAGTCCGCCTCTATCTTGTCAGACATCAGCTATGACAAAACGGATGACTCTCTTGTAAGTACTTTACTTGTCAGCTTTATCAAGAGTTAAAGCAACTTGAATGTTCTGTAAAATAACCTTAAATTTGGAAATCTGATTCTGATGATGTGCTTGATCTGTGACAGGATTGGGACTCCTCCACTGTGAGGACGGTGCGACTTAAGAAACGAGAAAAAAGGGTACGTTAACCACATGTGGACTTTGTCTGTTTTAAACTTTGGATTTTGGAAGAATGGATTTATGTCCACTGGAGGTACAGATGTCATGTCTCCGATTTTGATTTCAGCGCTCTTCTAGAAATCATGTGGATGGTCCTCCAGTTGCCTCCAAAAGGTCCCGATCAACAGGCAGAACTTCAGAGAGGGTAGGGTTTTTGCTTCTGTCTGGATATCATCATCTCTTTTTAAATCACTCAATTATGTGATGTTGTGACACGCGAACACAATAGCTCCAAATGTATGAAGAGTGAAAATATGGCAACTATTCTACCAGCTTTGGCAACCAAAAGCAACCCTGTAACCAGTTACACCAATACAATACCAATACACATTTGGGCTCTGACATAGTTTGGCTGCATGTGGGTATTTTGACTACTTTAAACAAAAATTAAAAAAAATAATAATAATTGTGACAGGGAAATGAGACCCTGGTGACAAAGACCACAGTGACTGTCCCTGCAAATGGAGGACCTGTTGAGGCAGTTTCTACCATCGAGACGGTTCCTTACTGGACTCGCAGCAGGAGAAGGACTGGTAAGATATCTATTATGATGGAAAATATATCCTTAGATACTAATTCATACAAGGCTAATGGCACTCAGATCAAATTATCCTATTAATTCTCATCCATCTAACTCAGTTCTTGAGACAAAAGTGAAAAGTTGATTTAGGGCCAAGGGACCCAATTTCTTTCAGCCTGTTGAGGACAGATATATTGTACTTTTTTGCAGATAAAAATCCCGATTTGAAAACCATGTCATCACACGACACAATATGCAACAAAATCAAAAACATTATTTAATGGAGACTGTGTTTGTCTACATATTATTTGCAAAAATGCTCTTATAATTTTTATGGATATCTTCAATCTGAATATATATAGCTGCAGCTGTAGTGATTAGACAGTATATTTTCTGATAACTGCAGGATATTTATGGAAAGCAACACACAGGTATTGATTTCCTATCTTTCCTATTCAGCTGCCATGGAGTGGGACTCTGAATCTGTCAAGTCTGAAGATGTCTTCAAGCAGCCTGCCAACCCTGAGGGAGAGATAAGAGCCCAGCCGAGCACTCCGCAGAGCAATGGAGGTGTCCGTCTTCACGAGTTTGTCTCCAAAACGGTAAGAATGCCTCTTGTGGGAGAGAATTGCAAAGTCAATTAATCTAACCAGAAAAGCGCATTTTCTTTTAGGATTTAACAATATTTTTGCCAATAAGTTTGGTCAGACCCATCACTGAAGTTTAACTTATTTGTCAATCATCTATTTCCAGATCATATTTTTTTAGCCAAAGTACACTTATTGTTGTCTGTAAAGAAATGTATTGGCATCAGTATTGAATGATTTGAAACTGCTGCCGGTCCTTATATTTGCAGTGCATTTACTTTGGTTTATTTATAAAATAAAATAAAGTGTAATTTGTGGGTATAGCTGAATGCATACATACTGTAGCTGTGGACCTACAATATTTACCAGCCTCTTAAGTGATTTTTAATGTCTTTTATAGGTCATTAAGCCTGAATCCTGTGTGCCCTGTGGGAAGAGGATCAAGTTTGGCAAGATTTCACTCAAGTGCCGTGACTGCAGGGTGGTGTCGCACCCCGAGTGTCGTGAGCGTTGCCCTCTGCCATGCATCCCCAATCTGGGTGCCACACCGGTCAAAATCGGGGAGGTGTGTTAGAACATTTTCTCATGACTGATTTCGCTGTTGATACGCAGGCACATGTACAAGTTTTGTTTTATCTCTGAAATTTTATCACAGTGCGGAAAGTTTACCCCATTTCTCATTCATTGGCAGGGCGTGCTTGCAGACTATGTCCCCGACATGTCACCCATGATTCCTCCTCTCGTGGTCCACTGCATTAGTGAGATAGAGCAAAGAGGCCTGCATGAGGTGAGTGGTGTTTTCCTGTCCTAATAATATGCAGAAATGTGAGACTGTAAAGCCTCACGTTCCAGAAGTTATTTTTAATGTCTTCCCCTTAAGCTGCGACAGAGAGCTGTAACTAAGATTTAACAATCTGTTCCTGGGAGATTAAATTTGTAATTGAGCTGTGGAAGTCTCCCAAATCTGTTGGTGGCTGTGTGTCTTTGCTGCTGTCTCTTTTTCTGTTGTTTTCTGTTTTGCTTCTGTCTTACTTTCTCACTTTCTTTCTGAGATGGTCATGAAATGTTGCCTCAAATTTTCCACCTTTTCTGTTGATTTTTTGTAAAAGATGTCCTTGATCTTCATGGCTTTTAGCCATACAAACTGTTGATAAATGTAGATCTCACAAATATTTCTGTTTGAACCATTTAGGGATGAAGCTAGAGCCTCACTGTTAAATCAGTTATTCAATTGACAGAATTTTGTCATAGTAAAATGTGAGGATTCAATGCTCTTTTTGTTTTATCCCTTTTTGTTTTCTTTTTTTATCTGTATTATTTTTGGGGCATGTTATGCCTTTGTAAGTCTGACTCACCAGGTGTTAGTTGCAGGTATAAGCCTCATTGGCTGCGTGTCTCAAGTGTTTTTTTCCACCCCTCACACTTCCAACCTGTTATCATTTTCAAAATCCTCCCAAAATTACAAATTTAGGTTAAGATTTGGATCGTGCACTCACACAGTCCACATACATCGTTCACTGTTTTTGTGTTCTTTTCTTTACGGGGAATTAGCAATTTTAATGACAGTGCCTTCCTGTCCCTTTGCAAATGTTCCACTAAAACATCTGGACTTGAAAGAATACAACAATCATCTTAAATGTATCACCTTGGATTATGGGATGGTGTAAGTAGCCCTATTTGGGGGTAAGTTCAATGAAGAAAATGAAACAATACATTGTAAATAACTGTATTTCTTCCCTCTCAGGCTGGACTTTACCGTCTGTCCGGTGCAGATCGCACAGTGAAGGATCTGAAGGAGAAGTTCCTCCGCAGCAAAACCGTTCCCGTGCTGAGCAAGGTGGACGATATCCACGCCATCACTGGCCTCCTCAAGGACTTCCTGAGGAACCTCAAGGAGCCTCTTCTCACCTTCCGCCTGAACCGTCCCTTCATGGACGCAGCCGGTATGTGTGTGTGTGTGTGACTGTGTGTTAGAAAAGATGCTAGTCTTAGTAATGGCAGTTTCTGATTTGAGGACCACATAGCAAAAAGCACTGGTACACAAAATAAAAGAAATTTATAGTAGAACTTGAAATAACTACAGCTTTGTGTAACTTCTTAATAGACAGCAGAAATGTACCCAACAGACTCATTAAATGAAAGTTTCACAAGTGTTTTTACTTTGTTTTTGCAATTTGTTCTGGACAGTGATGGAAACCTCAGGCGAGAAGTTGCCTGGAATAAACAGAAAGATTGATCTTTCACTCTGTTAGCATTTTTAGTATTTGTTTATTACTTGAGTCAGATACATTTTCTTTCAAGTTGTTATGAAATTCACTCAAGCTGCCATTTCTTGGTCTCTGCTGACAAAATTGTTTTCTTTGTTGTCCCTTAGAGGTTTCAGATGATGACAACAGCATAGCTCTGATGTACCAAACCATTGGTGACCTGCCACAGCCCAACAGAGACACACTGGCTTTCTTAGTTCTTCACCTTCAGAGGTTGGCAGCTACTTTCCTCTAAATAACATACTAAAATGCCTAAGTGAGCTATGTTATGCATGTCCCAGTGCAGCCGATAAAAAGCATTCACTACACTTTGATGCCTTGTATGTTCCTGCTAGTCTCTGTGTAATTAACTTTTTAATTTTGCTGTGTCCTCTGAATTTAATTGAGTTAAATTGCTTTAGGCAAAAAATGTGCTCAGAATTTCATCAACAGCTCGACTTTATCTATTTTCCTGATTTTTAGACGGAGCAACTTTTTGTTTTCTTTGAAATTCAGTTATCTGTATTTAACCTAAAATACACTACAGATTGTGGCATTTTGATTTCATATATCTCAAATCGACATAATTAAATCTAAAATCTTTCAGAGTTGCTGACAGTTTGGACACAAAGATGGACATCCATAACCTGGCTAGAGTTTTTGGCCCAACTATTGTGGGTCATGCAGTTCCCAACCCAGACCCTATGACAATCCTACAGGACACCAAACGACAGCCTAAGGTAGGCCTCAACAGTTTGTCATGTCTGTTATATTTCTTCAGTTGTTAGTCTTATACTTCCCCATACACAGAAAATTTAAAAGTAGTCCTTATGATTTCAGCCTGAGTTAATTTGGAGACACTGTGGTTACCGTGGTAACAGCACGAAGGGTTTAATACCACAGGTCTCGGGATTCTGTGGGCAACAAACACTTGTTGAGCAGCTACTTTGTCAGAAATACAACTAAAGAGCCACTGGTGTATGTGTTTACAATTCAGCCAAACAGTTCATTAGATGAATAACTGGCCTTTTCCATTATGCCATGAGCAACAGTGATCTAAATTTCATGCTGGGCATGATGGGAGTAGTTTTTGACACAAACGCAGTGCACAGTAAAATGAGTTAGATAGCATGCTGAGGAGTTGGAGTTGTGTACCATTTTGCTGTGGCTGCTCCTTCTTGTTCCATTACTTCCCTCTAAAATGACCTGCTGTTGAGAAACCTAAAAAATGATGACTGGCTTGTTTTGTAGATGCCTTGTTAATGAACACTAGCTGTTTGCGCTCACCTGTCACAGATATATTGCGTTCCCTTTGACTGCTTCACCACGATAAAAGCTACCCAATATTTGGCCGGTGATTGCTTTTAATTTGAATGAATGTAAACAGTGAAGCTGGATAGCGTACGCTCATTGCTTCCTGTGAGTCCCTCGTGTTTGTTGAGGCAATTTGACTCCAGCACAGGAATGGGGGACTCTGCCAACAACAATGAAAACCAATAGAGAGGTAATTATAAAATGGAAATATATTGCATGGCTACAGCTGGAAATATGCACACAAAATGATCAATTTAATTGTTTTTTATGTGGAGTGTATACCACATGGCAAAACTGAAGTCTTAAAGTCAAGATGAGGATTTACTGTTTCAAAAAAGCATTATTGGATTGTTTTGTTTTGTTTTTCTTCTGAGTGATCAATAATTGTGATCACAATAAGTAGCAGAAAACTTTGGGCCTTTTTAAATTTTTCGTAAACCATCTTAATGTAAGAGACTGAGCTCCCATAGTTAGAAAGCACCAAAAATGTCTTTGCTATACAATATTACACTCCAGAAAATCATCACAAGACCATACACTTGATTTTTAATAATTCCCCTCTGTCTTGCTGAAGGCATCTTCGTAACCAGCGTGGCACTACTGGAAGAGGGATGAGGCAACACACTGAAATATCCCTGATCTTTTTCATTTTTACTTCATCCCTCTCTGTTCAGGTTGTGGAGCGTCTCTTGGCTCTGCCCGTGGGTTACTGGGGCCAGTTTGTGATGGCAGAAAATGAGCAGCCAAACTTGGACCATCTGATCATCGAGAACGCAAACTGCTATGCCACCCCTGAGAGAGGTACGGGCGCTCACTAAACTTTGTGTGTAGTTCTGCAGTGCTTGTATGAGTGTGGACAGTTGTTTACAAGTTGACATTTCATTGTAATGTTTGTACTGTTGCAGCGAGCATTCTGGGACCTCTGACTACTCCAGAGCACCATCTCAATAAAACCCCCTCCTCCAGCTCTTTGTCTCAGCGCATGAAGTCCACGCTGACACCCAGGTAAACACACAAGCACAGTCCCTTCCTCTTTGCTTAAACACTATTTTTTAAAATCAATGATCTAATAATTAATTTGCTTTAGAATGACTGTTGTTGTAAAAGTGAAAGTACTTTTTTTTTAATTTAGAGAAAAGCTGACTTGTTTGAACATCTTTCATATAAGTTAATCTACCATACATTATCTCATTACCCTTCAATCACACTGTTTTATTGACCATGACTCCTAATTTAATTAAATGTCATGTGCACTCCTTGTTGCAGATTTGGGAGCAAGAGCAAATCAGCAGTCGGATTCTCTCGCCAAGGAAAATTCTTTGCATCTCCGCTCCTCAAATAATCCAAAGATACACGCAACTTTTATTCATACTGCAATAACACATAACAAGGTACTGCCTTAATAACAGCTATAAACGCCTCCATCTTAGTCTTCCTCTGTATACTTATAATCGTTTAAATTTTTTTTAACCAAATAGTAGGTTTTTCCTATCTATGCACACTTGTGGCTTTAGAGGATGCTTTAGCTAAATATTTAACATGACACTCTCACATCCCATTATAACACATGAGAATGTACTGTTTATTTACTATGTTTGAGAAGTGTGATCATAGATGAAAATATGTACTGTATATGCACAGTTTTGTTGTGATGTGCTTCTAAATCTAATCATTTTTTTGGAGTTTTTCAACTCATGTGTCACTCAGAAGTTGAAGAGCTCATTCTTAGGCATTTCATTCTAAGTTGTAATTGAATGTCATTCTTGCTTGTGTTTATCTTTTAGTTTTGATGTTTGTATTTCATTTCTAATCCATGTTTAGAGTCACAAATGCCCTATCCTTTTTCATGTATTAACTACAGACAGTATTTATAAGACCTCAGTGGGAAGATCTTGGTCTTAATCTGTAAGATTTACAGGGCGTGATATTATTGGTGATCGTCATCAATCTCTTGAGAAAGGGGACATTTTTAAATCTTGCTGCCATTTTGTTTGACAGTGTATCATGCACTAACAGGGATAACCAAGAACATTGAAGCTCTGTGTAATGTTTGTACCATGGGAGGCAAAAGGTATTCCTTTGTAAGATTAGCCAGTTCAGTGACTGTGGCATTATTTGATTAACTATTAGTGCAAATTTTGTACACAAATACTCTTTAAAATTTCACTTATAAAATACATCCCTAACATTTACATAAACGTCTCCTGTCCTTTCTCTTAAATGCTTGGTGCTGTTTCCAAACCTTAACACCCTGAGTGCAAGGGAGACTGTGGTCCAGACGGTTAACACTAACTTTAATCTCCTGTTGTTTGAGGTTCTATTTTGACCTCAGCATGGCGTCTAGTTGCAATATATAAACTTCAAAAAACAACTCTACTGTAGATTTAGAAGTAAACTGTCAAAAGAAACTAGACTTTCTTTAGATTCTTGAAAAGGTTTCACCTCATCTAAGAGGCTTTTTCAGTTTTGACTCATTGGTTTTCAGAGAAATGTGGGTTTTCGATTTGTAAGTATGATGTTCACATTAGGACTGCACGATATGCAAAGTATTCATATTGCCATTATTTTTTGGAAGGTCGTTCAGTTGGAATGATCGTTTTTGCATTTCATTTTTCACTGATGATTTTTAAAAAATGAAGATGATGTTTGTTGGGGCTTGTTCCAAACAAGTAAGTCCCTTTACATCTGGAAAATAATTACATCTCAACAATGCACAACAATATAAATATCACATTTTAACTTTATCAAAAAAATTGCAGCTCCGGCAATTTGGGTATTGCACTCAGCCATATTGCGATTTCCATTATATTTTGATTAATTGTGCAACCCTAGTTCACATCAAAACATTTATAAGTCAGAAACTCATAATTACGATATGACATGAATGTGGCATTAAGCTCTAGATTCAAAAGATCCATTTACAACATTTATTTTATAGAATAAAATGACAAGTAGTAAATCACAACTACTCACTCAATTTGAAATATTCTTAGTTTTGTTGAGAACATTTAATGACCATTGGTGCAACAGATGAGAAAATATTCAACATCAAAATTTAGGCAATGGCCAGAGAAGAGGAGTGTTCTTGAGGTAGTTCTGGAAGGCTGGGTCAGACCCCCACTTCTTCATGGCCTGCTTCTCCAGGATGGGGATACCGCTGACGTAACGTAGCAGGAACCAGACGAAGAGAGGTGACGCCACACTCAGATACTGGGGACCCTGCATCACCGATGAGGCCGAGAGCCACAGGCCGGACCACTGCAGGATCTCTCCAAAGTAGTTAGGATGTCTGCTACAGGCCCAGAGTCCACTCTGGATGAACTTCCCCTGGGGGCACAAGAGTAAATTGGGCGGTACAGTTGTTACTCTCAGTGAATGAGGCATTAATGCAGTTTGGGCTTGCACAACATGTGGTCTGTTAACTTACAGCATTATCTGGGTCACTCTTGAAAAACCATTTCTGCTGGTCAGCAATAGCCTCGGTAGCGAAGCCAAGGCCCCATAAAGTCCAGCCAATGTAGTCCCTCGTTCCCAGAGGCACATCTCGCCTCTCACTGTTCAGCATGAGGGTGGGCAGGAGGGTCATAAATACCCACACAGCTGAGAGAAACAGGAAAGATAAATCATCTTCAAGCGGGCTTACCTTAATACCTCCATGAACTAAATGCATTTAACTTACAGTAACCAACAGCACCTGCCCTGAAAAAATGCATATAAAGAGCTAGAAACTAGACAGTGATTTATACAAGGCAGCCCTCCTTTCAGTTGGGTGCTGAGTTGGGTATTTACATCACTCCTAAGTACCTTGAATAGTCCAATATACAAAGAAAGTCCCTGGGCTGTCTCTGACATTGTTAAATCTGCGATCATGACCGTCCTTCAAGATCCGCATGAAGAGGAATGTACCCAGCCTGCAGAAAGAACACAGTTAAAATCCGTTCACATTAACCAAGGCATTATTCATTAACCTGAAAAGTTTCTCATTCATTAGTCTCTCCTCTGACCTTGCCAAGGACCCTCTATGACTGAACCTGCACAAAACCCAGAGGGTTTTAATGCAGGAGGATATAATCTTGGCATGCCTCTGTAGCAGTTTTATTGAACCGTGCAGGGGTGTCACTTCATATAACACCGGGGTTCAATACTGCCTTGCCTACCTGAGTCCCCATGCTGTCACCAACCCAGACTGCACCTTCTGACGGACATGACTGGCTCCTCCCCAGATACGACTCAAGTGGGCAAGTAGTATAAATGTGCCAGATCCTGGGAAAAAAAAAAAAAAAAAAAAAAAGAGAGAGAGAGAGGGGTAGAGAGAGAGAAGCTGCAGACTCAGGCTGGTTGGGACATGGACATGGCAGACAGCTCTTCTTGTTGCAGATTAAGGCGTGTTCAATAAATCTTTTACCCAGGATACTGCAGACGATTGGTTCCAAAGTTCAAGGGTAAGAATAACCAGGAGCGCAGAGCAGGGTGGAGAGCCAGAGGAGGACGAGTAAAAGAGAAGTGTCAAGGTGATTCATTTGAGAAATTATAAAGAAATCAGTCACTGGTGTCGACAGGTAAGCTACGCTGTTCTACCTGTAACAAATGATTAGTTAATTGATTGCATTTAAGCCAAGAGGCACCTTGTCCTGACAGATAGAATTAATTTCCAAATCTGTAACTTCCTCATTGGTTGTGTCTAAGTCATCACGGATGTCTATTGCATAATTAAAACTTGCAGGAAAGTTAGGACACAAGGGCTGCACCTAATGATTATTTTTATCATCAATTAATCTGCCAATTAATCATATAACTGTTTAATCGTTTGGTCTGTAAAATGTCTCCGTATAGGTAAAAATGTTCAGTCCAAGGCGGCACCTTTCCATGTTTTGTCCGACCAACACCCCATAACCCAAAGTTACACAGTTTACTGTCACACAAGACCAAAAAAAAAGAGACACATCCTCACAATTGAGAAACTGGAACAAGGTATCGTTAGGTAATTTATGCTTGAAAAATCATTAGGAATTATTATTTACAATCAAAATAGTGATGATAAATTTTCAATAAATTGCGTCAGCTCTTGAGGACACCAATAAATTAGGAATTCAAGAACATGCAGTAATTCTTCAACTACCAAAATATTTACTATTGTAAATGCTGTTGAACACAGTTTGTAACACGTTTATAATTGTTTTTACCAATGTAAACGTGAGACAAAATTACAATATGATTTTCTCAGTTAGCAGCGTACCAGTGTGCTTACAAGTGGAGAGACAGTTAATGTCAATTTCTTGTATGGGGCCCAAAAAAAACAGCCCTCACCCCCCTTTGATTCAGAGAGAAGGTCCCAGGTTTGCTATGTAAGCCCCTGCTGACACAGGACCATGAGGTCAAGCTGATTGGATCTATACTGCCGCCTCTTAAGCTGAAGGAGGAGCTCCAGGGCTGTTTCACAACAAAGCTCTTTTAGATAACACGACTTTTGTAATGATGATCATTCAACATCTAAATGCAATGCAAAGTTTAGTTTTTAATTTATCTTACAGCCCCACAGCAGCTGAATTGCGGTTAATTAACTTTCCTCCAGGCCGTTTAAATGTGATTCGCTGTTCTGTCACGTCGAGTTTACACCAATTTATTTCTGCTGAATAACTCTCCAGACTTCAAAACCAGTCAGAACATGGCCGCAAGTCAACATTAACAAATGGAAATGCGAAATGCTCGTCAATTTTTTTTTGTTTGTTTCTTTTTACATTACCTGCCAAATCATAAAACTTCTCGGTTCTGAAAGCTGAGGCCAGAGCCCAGCCGGCCCACTGGATGCCCAGGTCAGTGACGGCACATTTGGCCAAAGTGCTCCCCATGATCAGCTCCTGCAGCCCGGCGAGCAGCACAGGAATCTGATGGTTTGTCATCGGACCACTCCTCCTACACCCAAAGAAATATAAACAGTCTGGGCAAAGTTCACCGCTGCCATACTACTACACAGGAAGTGGCTTGATCGCAGGGAACTCTGGGTATTGTAGTTATTAGAGGATTAGAAGCAAGGAGTGTCCACGGGTCACAGAGAGGCAGTGGCTGAATACAACTGTGCATTTCCTTACTCTTCTGCTGCTTGTACTTTACTTGAGTAACACAGTTTTCGACTGCTTTAGATGTCTACTCAGTGCCTGAGCAAATATTGATCCTTTAACTTAATCAAAGTAACAATACGACAGTGTGAAATAGGCAACTCCATTACAAGTAAAAGTCATACTTTGAAAGTGTTGCTTCAGTAAAGGTGCGTAAGTGTCGTTATTGGACTGCACTCAGGAGTAGAAAACAACAATGATAATAATGTAAGTGGTCATATAGTATGATAATAATGATGATAATAATAATGATAACGATGATAACTTTATTTGTATAGCACCTTTAAAAACAGAGTTTACAAAGGGCCTTGACAACTAAACAGAGGAAACAACAACAACAATATGACAACAGGGCAGAAATGAGGTAAAGCTAGAGAGAAAAGACATACAATACAATATACTTCAATATAAATAAAATCAGTTGAAGAGAGTAAAGCCGGTAAAAAACAATAAAAGGACAATAAAAAGATGACATCCCATAAAAGCAAGTCTATAAAAATGGGTTATATAGTATTATGAGTAATATATTGCATTTTAATGTTGTGTTGGATGTGCATGTCAGTACTACTTACACTAAAACTCCCACAATAATAACAATTATAGTATAGTGAGGAGAAGGTGCAGGTGTTTTGCTTTAAAACACTTTATTCAGTGTGCAGCATTAAGGACAAATACTGGGTGGTCTGAAGGTGTTATTGTCAGTGTACAATATTCACTATAGAGTCCAGAGCTCTGGATGTTGAAGAAGATAGAGAGTCTTAAGTAAGAAAAATGTTATATTGTCTTAATTTTGTTACGATGATTAAATAGTATCCTAATGTTGAAATTGCTTTCAGGGAAAATGTATTTGATCTGTAAATTCCTCACGCTTAACTTAACAATTGTGGTTTCACAGGCCAGTGTTGTAATGTATCTTGTCCTCTCTGTTTCCCTTCATAATCAGGAATAAACACAAACAAGACGAAACATGACGGACAGCACGAGTCCAAAAGGCAATTCTGGTGACTTTGCGAAAAAAGTCCAAAGACAGCTGAGCAGAGGCAAAGAAAAGGTAATAGTCTGCAGGATCTTGTTTCCCATATAACAAGAGAAAGAAGAAATAACCTCTTAATAGCTGTTGCTTTGAGATATGTGCTTTTTCTGCAGGTGCTGCAAAGGCTGGGAAAGACTGTGGAGACCAGAGACGACCACTTTGACCGTTTTCAACAGCAGTTTAATGACCAGCAGGTAATCATCCTCCTGCTTTATTAAAGAATGAGAAGTATGGACTGTGTTTAGGACTTTCCTTTTGTGTGTTTAGTTGGACAGTTGAAACAGATTTAAGGCTGTGAAGAAATTGATTTTTGACTGTGTATGTTAACACTGGGATGATTTATCATCTTTTAGCCAGTGACTCTAACATCATAAAACTAATAAATGTAAAGACTGGCAATCATACGGACCTCTTGTCTGTTTGCAGACTGATGGGAACCGGATGTACAAGGACTTGAGGAATTACATTAACGCAGTCAGAGGTGAAACATGCTTTTTGCTCGTAGATGCTGCAGACTTATTTATGTCCTCTTCAGTCCTCATGAATACAGTCCTGCTTCTTCCCAGACATGCGTGAAGCATCGCGGCGCCTTTCCCAGTCTCTGTTTGATGTTTATGAAACCGACTGGGCCGGGGAGGAGGACCTGGGAGCCATTGTAGAGGTCAGAACCAGTATGATCATCAGTGATAGTATAAACTCTCTCACTGCATGCTCTACCACTGCACAGTTTTGTCTTACAAGTACAAAAGCAAGCAAGCAAGATTCACACATCACCAAGGGACCAACCCCTCCCCTTCTTTTCCACCCTCTCTTCATACATAATTAATGCAATATTTATGCTGCGCCTTTTAATAAGGGGGAAGATCTCATGTGGAATGACTACGAGGTGAAGCTATTAGACCAGGCCGTACGCACAATGGAGTCCTACGTGAGCCAGTTCCCAGATGTCAGGGTAAGGAAAGAGGAACCATGTATGCACGCAAACATAACATGAATACACAGACAGACAAAAAGTCCTGAGAGGAAACACACACACAGACAGACACACACACACACAGACACACACAAAAACAACAAATACAAGCACACAGGAAGTTCACACAGAGACATGCACACACACAGATAGTACATCTGGATTTTTTTCATTCTGTAGGAGAAAATTGCCAAGAGGGGAAGAAAACTGGTGGACTACGACTCTTCCCGTCACCACCTGGAGGCACTGCAGACTGCCAAGAAGAGGGATGATATCAAGATAAACAAGGTCATTAAAAATGACACACATGTCTTGTTTACACTCTGTATTATAACCTTCATTTGTTCAAAAATACGCATTACAGTTAAGTCAGTTTCTCATTCTGCAGGCTGAGGAAGAGATGAATTATGCCAAAAGTGTCTATGACGGCATCAACAGTGATCTCAAAGAAGAGCTGCCTGTGTTCTATGACAGGTCTGATGGAATATTTTTATTGCTGTATGATTTGTGTGAATTTTCAGGGTTTTTTTTTTTAAGTGTGTGTTTGTCAATGTTTTTCTCCTTTAGCCGTATCGGATGCTACGTGTCCGTCTTCTCTGCCATGTCAAATCTACGAGACATCTTCTACAAGGAAATGTGCACGGTATGTTTAGATCTGTGTTGGTTGAGCAGCTACATTCAGCTGGCACACAGTATTTATTGTTATGAAATTCTATTTTGTCTATGCATCTCCTCTTTTAGCTCAATCTTGATCTACAGAATGTGATAAAGGAGCTGCAGGCTCAGCATCCAGACAAAGCGTTTTCTGTGAGGGGACTGCAGCCGTAAGTTCCTCTTTTCTTTTTTTTTGGGGGGTGGGGGGGTTCAAAGGAATTGTTCGCCACAAAATTATATCAGTACAGTTTAAGCTCAAGTATACTTCATAGATCATGATGAAAAGTCTTTTCTTAGCCTTTTTGCCAAAAGAATTTAATGTCAGTGATCCAAAATGTTTTGTGGCCAAACACTTTTCTTCCATTGCCTTGGTTGCTTCAGATCCCACACCACTGAGTCATCTGACAAACTGCTTTCTTGTAAACTTTTATTTTGGGATGAATCTCAAAATTTGAACCGTGTCCTTGCTTTTTTCCCTGATATTATCCTGCTAAATGTTGCAGTTATGGCTCCCTGAGAAGACGAACACTGATGTCCCCTAAGGCCTGGAAAGCGAGCTTCTCTGAGTTTCACAGGAGCTACAATCCTAAAGCTGGCCAGAGGTTTAGTTTCAGGTCCCCAGAAAAACCTCGCCGCGGCACTCTGTCCAGAGAGAGCAGCACCCTGGCAGTCTCCCCACAATCTGCAACTCTGGAGAGCCACACCCCCGAGCACAGCGACCCGGACGCCGAATCGAGCCACAGTGAGATCTACAGCTGTCCCACAGAAGAGGGCGGTGCAGCGGGGACGGGTGGAAACGAGCTGAAGTCAGGAGAAGACGGCAATCAGGTGGAAGAGGAGAAGGGCGTGAAAGGAGAGCAGTCTGAACCAAAGCCTCCTGCAGAATCTGATGATAAGGCTGAGAAAGCTTCAGCGAGCGAGAGCAGCTCTGAACTTAACAACTCCTGCGATTCGGAGAGCTTGGAGCTGAAGCTGTCTGCTTTAGACAACGGCCCACTGCACATTGAAGAAAGAGAAGACAACCAGGTACTCCTCGACACTCAAAGAGCAAACGGACTGGATAATGGTGAAGTTTCTGGGTTTAAGTCTGAGGTCCTGGGCATTCCTCACAAGGTTTGTCATCTGATCAGCTGAAGCACAGTGCTGCAGGCCTCTCCTATGTATTTTCCACCATTTTGTGCCATGATTCTCCTTTTTTTCTTACAATTTTTGCTCTTTTCTTTGTGTCCTATCTAGGATGCTCCTGCAGAAAAACAGGCGCCCCTAGACTCCAAAAGCACAGTGGTTTAAGGTTTTCACACTTTGATATAAGTTTTGTCTTTCATGCATACAACTTCTCTCATATTATCATTCCTGTTCTCTCTTTGTCTGGTGTTTCTGTGCTTAACTGAGGTTTTTGTCATAAATCTGTGTTTGCCAGAACAGAAGAGACTGAAGTCAACAGCTGCACAAGAGAAAAAATGTGGAGACAGCTGCACTGAAATCCTCCAGCTGGTGACACGACGGATGTTCAGTGCATTGATTTGTTGCTGTTATTTATCTTTTATTGGAATCAATTGTAAATACACTCTACAATGTCTTTGGGTTAAACTTTTTAATATTTTTGTTTAATGTTAAAAGCACCCGTTTCATTATATCCTATACCAAACAGGTACATTTTAAAATCAAAGTATTTCTTTTATGTGTATAATGTTGCAAACATAAATGCACTATTAGGTTTACATGGTTAGAAAACTTAGAAAACCAACTGACTACAACATGAACACAAAGATGTACTGAGCTGTGGTCTCAGTTTCATGAGGAACGGAACTAAACTCTGTTGCCATTGACCAAAAGACTGAAACTAAACAGTAGCATCACTGATTTTCTTGTATTTTCCTTTTACTTTTTTGAATTTTCCTCTACTTTTTTTATCCGATTTTGATGGCAGGGATTCAACAGGGATTCATTTTCATTCATGTGAAATTCATTTTAGTTTGAATTATAAATTTGAACCTTTCTACTCATAAAACGGGAATCTATTAATTAGCTGTGCACTTCGAAGATAAAAATTAACACGGTTATCTTTTCTTAATCTCATTTACACTCAAGTTATTTCTCTACAGTTTATTTAATTGTAATTATTTAATGAGTATGCACATCTAAAGCTAAGATATGTGGGAATTATTATGAAATTTGTACACAACAAATAATAAAAAAGCATTTAATTAAAACTTTGTCTCAATAGCTGCATTTGTTTCTCTCAAAATGGACGTTTTAAGTGATAAGGACAAAAAGTCTCACTGAGCGTAATGGAAAAGTTGAGAGATAAAGCTGTCGAAAAAGATATTGTGGAATTCCAGAGTTAAAATATTTGATTTAGTGATGATGAATCGTTTGATAATAGAGATGTCAGTTTATACTGGATAAATTTGATAATGCATAAAGTGGAGTTTTTTTGCCTATGCTTCAGTTTGTGTAGGAATAAGAAGTTAGATGTGAACTTCCTAAAATGTGTTGTGGTCAATTGGCTAAAATGTCTTACTTATACACATAAAGACCACTCCTTGCTGAAACATGCTTTTAAAAATATGAACAACAACCTTCTGTGATATGAACTCTGTGCTAGTTGTCAAAGCTTGAGAGCCAACATATTTGTGTAGGAGTGCAGACTATGGGTGGACTGGAAAATAGTTTTATGTTATTTACAAAAACAGACAGGAAAGAGACTTTGTATTGTGACTGAGCAATAATAAAATCTATGCATGTTTTTATGGGGACTCAGTGAGGGCAGTCAGCAGGGAGTCAGCACTGGGGCTCATTCTGAAGGAACGATGAAGATGTCCAGCTCAATATGGCTAATGTTTTTTGACTTCTTTGAAAAGACACCCCACTGATTTTACACACAAAGATCAATTTATTCAACTCGAGGAGTACATCTTATCAAGATCAAATGCAACAGCCCAGGGGTCCCCAGATCCTGAGGGGTCCCAAAAAACCACAGCTTCATCCATCTTCACCTGTTTAGGTAATTTATTTAGTTAATTTATTTGCACCACAAAGTACAATATCAACTAAGGTGGCAGTTTAAGGTTTTAATGCCTTCAATTATATGGCCTGCAGTTAGTTTGATAACATACAAACACTGAGAAGGTGATAGCTTTTGTCTGACTTTACAGTGTGAATGTATGGCTACTTATTGGCCTGTATTGATCTAGAAAATATACCAATAGAAAAGATTAGCTTATTCATTTTTGGCCAATACTAGTGAGGGAGTCAGTGGGGGCATTTTTTTTGCCCAGGGGCCCTTTAAGAGATTGATCAGTCCATGGAAACAAGCAGCTGCAGCTCTGTCTGTTCCACATTTAAACTCAGCAGTGATATCTTGCTCATAGACGATCTTTGACGGAGAAGGGGGAGGAAAGGGAGGGGTCGGAAATCGAGAGCGTGTCCTGCATGACTCACGAGTGCTGGGGGAAGAAGTAGAACTACTTACTGTGTTTCACAGACGCAATTTTGGACGCCTGAGCGGAGTCACAGGGAGTTTAAATTTCAAACTTCAGTTAGCAGTGTGCGTTAGTTTTCTCCACCTTAGAAGTTAGCTTGGGGAAAAGTTTTATTATCTAGGTTAGTGAGACGCCCCGCTGCGCCCAGGTAAGCTCACAGCACAGCTGTGATGAACAATGTCTGATTGTTTGTTCAGTGTTTGAGAATCATGGAAGAGTTTTTAGCTCACATGTCGTAATTTTCCCGGGGTCGCTTTCTCAGACAAGCTAAGTTTATGAGAACATGCGGGTGAAAGAGTTTGTGTTTCTTAAAAAGGTCAGAGTGACCTGTTTACTAAGAAGACAAAGGAGCAGCTGAAAAATTAAATATGTCGGTAACAATGGAGGAAATGTGTTAACCAGCTGTTTTCCATGTTCAAATAAAAACATTTAGGTTATTGTGACATGGTTGGAAAACGTCAGGGCTGCACCTATTTTCACTGTAGATAAAACTTCCTACTATTCTTTGCTCATCATCTAACAATTATTTTCTCGATAAATCATACATTTTTTTGTCCAAAAAATGTCTGTTAAAATTTCCCACAGCCCAAGGTAATCTATTTCATTCGCTTGTTTTATTCGACAAAAAGTCCAAAACCCAAAAATGTTTACTGTTTACTGTTTACTGTCACATATGACATGCAAGTGCATTAAATTGTCAAATCATAGGAAGCTATAATCTGTGAATGTTTGGAATTTTTGCTTCTAAAGTGACTAAAATGATTAACCAATCATCAAAATAGTTCTTGATTAATTTTTTGACAGTAGACCAGTCAATTAATCGAGTAACTCTGAAACGTTATTGTTGAAATGCAGGGAGATATTGTTGTCTTTATTTGTTAGTTTTAACAATTTTTGTGTTTTTCTTACAGGTCGGCAGTGAGTTAAAAAGCAACCATGAACAGTAAGTGCACATTTGATCAATAATAACAGCGCTGATTTATTTGTATGACTGCACCCAAAAGCTCCCAAAGGCCCAGGCTCATTCATCAACTGGTTGTCCTGTTTATGAATTAAAGGAGAATATTTGCAAAGATGATTATTTATTGTTTTAAGACCTTTATTATTATAGTTTGTATTGTGCGCATGTGCATATATTTCTAAATACTGCAGTTTTTAAAAAAATTCTAATTACTTAACAGTAATTGACAAACATAAAACCGTGGGCCCAGTATTGGTATTCCAGCACAGGAGTGTTAGATAAGATAAGATGAGATAAGATCAAATAGATGGCATTAAGCTTAGTTAAGAGAGAAAAAAATACATTGTCAGTGTATTTACATGAGGTGTACTATTGCACATTGTTCACATGAAGTGTAGTCTTGTACATACATCGAGCATCGGTGAGAGAAAAAGTTGGTGTTACAAAGAAATATTGCACATATTACTGTCCATTGGTGTTTGTGCAGTACCCAGTGGGTTGTTGTGAGCAGTGCTCGTTTACAGTCTGACAGCAGCAGGAAGTAAAGACCTGCAGTATCGCTCCTTTGAACACCGTGGGTGGAGCTGCCGACCGCTGAAGGCGCCGCTCGGTGCTGTCAGAGTCTCATGCAGGGGGTGGGAGACTTTCTCCCCTCAGGATGAAAGCTTGGCCAACATTTTCTCTGTCCCACCACCTCCACTGTATCCGGGGGGCATCCCAGGACTCCGTCCTGCCCTCTTGACCAGTTTATTCAGTCTCTTCCTGTCTGCTGTCGAGATACTGCTGCCCCAAGAGAACACTCCGAGGTCTGAGTCTCCTCAGCGGATGAAGTCTCCTCAGCGGATGAAGTCTCCTCTGGCCTTTCTTGCATAGTGTATTAGCATTGTCCGTCCAAAGTCTACACTCTGAAATTCACACGTGGGTGGGTGGGTGGTGTTTGGCCCCAGGGGCATCTATCACCAGCTCTTTGGTTTTTCCATTGTTTATTTGGAGGCAGTTCCAGTGACACCAGCCCACAAAGTCCTGGGTTAGTCTCCTATACTGCTCATCAGCTCCATCAGTGATGTAGCCAACATTAGCGGAGTAATCTGAGAACTTCTGCAGATGACAGTTTGATGAGTGATGTATAAAGTCCGGTGTAGAGGATAAACAGGAAGGAGGCCAGGACTGTCCCTAGTCAGACGCACAGTCCTTAAACCCCTTCATACTGTGGTCTGTTTGTCTCATCCAAATGGTGAGGCAGCGATCTACCACCACACAATGCATCTTCTCCCTCAGTAGTAAGGTTAGTATGGTGTTGAATGCACCGGCGAAGTCGAACAATATGATTCTCACAGTAGATCCAGGGTCTTTCACATGGAGAAGGATCTGTAAAGAAGGTGGATGTTGGCATTGGCTACACCGATGCCTCACTGATGTGCGAACTGCAGCAGGTCTAAGAATAGGTGCACCGGAGGGCGGAGGTAGGTCAGGACCTGGCCTTCATCAGGTGAGAAGTCAGTGTCACCCGCCTGTAGCTGTGTAGTTCCTTCAGGTGTGATTTCTTTAGTACTGGTAGCACGCAGGAAGTCTTGCACAAGAATGACACTCTCACCATTTTCAGGCTCTGGTTGAAGATGAACTGGAACATCCCACACAGCTGGTCCACACAGGACTAGGCACAGGGATGGGCGAGGGGGTGGGGGGGTGAAGACTGCTTGTTGTATTTTGGGGAGTGAGGAAGTGCACAGGAAATATGGTAGTCACTAGGACAGAGCAGGGTAGCTGTCTGGGTCAACAGGGACCCAACAACAGATTTTTTTCCCCCAGACCTCCCAGGAGGTAAATCTGGCTCTAAAGATTTCTGAAGCTAGATTTTGGTTGTTTTCCAGCAAAGTAATACATACATTTACCAGAGCACTTAAGTCAAATTTTGAGGTAGTTGTACTTCAGCAGATTAATCAATAATGAAAATAATCATTAGTTGAAGCCCAATTAATCATTTGGTCTGGAAAACATCAGCAAACAGTGAAAAATGTGGCGATGTCTTGTTTAATTCAACCAACAGTCAAAAACAACAGTCGTGTAAAACCAAGAAAAGCTGCAAATTATTACATTTGAGGGCTTTGATGTTTGGCTTTTTTTTTTACTTAATTGCAGATTCTTTTTCTGTCAGCAGTCGACTAATTAATGTTGTTTTGCAGGTCTGTTGCGGATAATACTTGTGTACTTCTGCTTTAGTCACATTTTAACATGAAGACTAGTTTTTATAGCGTGATGTTGTTACTTTTACTCAAATTAAAAGATCTCAGCACTTCCTCTGCCACTGGTGTGTTCTCTGATTAAGTCATTGCATCACAGAGGATTCGGAAATAAATCGGAGGTTGACAGCTTTGTTTCAGTTTCAGCCCTTAATAATCAGATTACTGTGTCACAACACTTAATATCTCCCCTCCACCCCAGCAGCTATGCAGTTATACCATTCTCTTCTAGCGGCACACACACACACACACACAAACAAACACAAACACACACTGTGGGCTGTAGATAAGAGCCCTGTGACATTTTTAACATGCTTTTTGATCTTCCAGGTTCAGATATGGTGCCTTTAACAACAGACTCTACAGCTGCAACTGTGAGGCAGAGTAAGTACACTGTGTTTTTAAGATCCTTCGTGAATGTACTCACTTGGCTTTGAATGCTGTAGCTAACCAGTATTCTGATATAATCTTGATAGTTTGTGCTGTTTTATCAACACATACTCTATATTGCTTGTGGTTTT